AGAAAGAAAGAAAGAAAGAAAGAAAGAAAGAAAGAAAGAAAGAAAGAAAGAAAGAAAGAGTTGAACACCTGTGCTGGAGATCATGTGGCCCTCAAACTCTAAATACTTTTATAATATGGCTATTTTGAAAACAAACAAACAAATAAAAGCACCAACTGCTGAGAGAAATCTCTGTTCTCACTAGTTCACCTACATTTGAGAAAATCAAGGCCCAGGACAGTGTCTTGTCAGCCAGGGATTATAGGCCTAAGAGCACCTAGAAGCAACCCAGGCACCCTTGAGCTTCTAAACCCTGCCCCTTTGTGATCCTGGAATGCAGCACAGTGGATCACCTTTGCTTGGTGATGGACCACACCATCATCGCTCCACCTCTGACCATGTTCTCAGCCTTCTCTGCTGCATCTTGACACAGCAGGCTCACCCTGAGAGGGTCTTTGATAGGGTCAGGTTGGTTCATGTGCTGACCTTGCCTGTAATTGCTTAAGCGGGATCTCATTCATATGATGAAATCTTTCCCCACCCCTTTTTTGTCCTAAGGCTCCACTGACCTGGCTTCTGATCTCTCTCCCCCAACATTCATTTTCCCACCTTCACCTTCCTCCCTTTACTCCTTGTCATCCATGGTCTTAAGTATTCCACAAGTGCTTCTGGACCCTGAGTAGGGACCGTTTCTCTATAAAAGGAGAAACATATCATTCTGTCCAACCCAGCCACAGTACAAGATCTGTATGCCTCCCTCCCTTCCTCCCTCCTCAGCCCACCCCTGCCAGGAGGCTCCTACCCCGACTACAGACAGATATCTCAAGGACTCGCCCTGTGCACTGTGAGCACAGTGTCAGCTTTGCAGTCCTGAACTTTTTTTTTCAAGATTTCTATTTAACTTTCTGTCTTCCCTGCTGGAGATTAAAAAGAAAGAAGAAGAAAAGGGGAGAAACATATCCAGCTGGATAACAAGTCTTTAGCCGTGTTGTGTATCATGGTGTGTGACGTGCCTTCTGCTCCTGCTGCCGTGAACCATGACACTGATGTCAAAGAGAACTAAAGATAAATGTGAACAGAGGGAGAGAAACGAGACTTAATTCATTTCTTCTTTTTCTTTCACTCAATTCAGTAACTCAAGTGTCAACAGTGACATCAGAGACAACGAACAATAAAACCGCTTTCTTCAGCTCCAGTAGCTATGGGTCTAAGAAGAACAAATTGGGACCTAAATTGAAAAAGAAGATTGAACTACTAAAATGGTGCTTTTTAAACTTAGGGTCACAATTCATGAGTGAGTGTGAAATCCATTTAGTGAGCTATAACCAGCAATATTTACAAAAAGGAAGAAGGAGAAAGGGGAAAGACAGAAAAAGAAGAAGAAAAGGAGGAGGAAGAAGAGGAGGAGAAAATACTAGCGTGCACAGGGAACTTACTACTTTATGATTTTTGTGTAGACTCCATGTGTGTGTGTGAGTGTGTGTGTGTGATGGTTTACAATGGGATTTTCACTGTGAATTATGACCAAAGCACTTGAAAAACAAATTAAAATGTTTGAATTTCGTGTAAGAGTAGAGAGGAAAATGTGGTTTATAAATTTTACATCAAATGGTTATATTTAAAATTAAAAATATGATATTCACAGATGTTCTCAGCTCTTAATCTATAGAAACATGAGTCGATGCTCTTTGTGTGATTTTTGAAACATGGCTGCACATTCTTTAACATTGCTTCCCTAAGAAAGCAGGATCTCTTTCCCCTTTCCTTGAATTTTATTGGGTTCTGTGGCTGCTTTCCCTAAATAGAACCAAGAATATAACATAATGAGATTTGAAAGTAGGCCATAGAGAGCTGTGAGAGTCTCCACTCTGTTTGTGGAGGCTCCGGCCCCCAGAGACATTTACTTTCTCCAGCGGCCAGGTGGGCACTACAGTCATCAAGCTCATCCCAGACAGCCGCAGCAAGGCCAGCAACTGTGACGGGAAGCCATGTTGTGTCCTTCACAACAAACTATTCTTCAGCCAAACAAGATCGGGTGAATTCACTAATGCTGGATAGAACAGACAAAACCCTTGGAGGAGCAAGGCTCAAATCACTGAACAATAACACCGGGACCCAGAATAAAAGTGAGTACCATCATAAGTGACAAGACGGTTGCAAAGCAGGCGGTGCAAGATGACAAATGCCCCAAAGGCTCTTTATAAGTAGTGTTTTTCACCTAGAGGCATGATTCACAAAAAGGACATGAGGTCAACTTAGTAACAGCATGAATTTATCCTAAAATAGGAAGAAAAAAAAAACATTCTAGGAAATATCATAGCACAGAGTTCACAAGAAAAGTAGTTTTAAAACATTTTTATTTATAGGCAAATATATGTACATAGTATGTATATTGGGTTCTGATGTATTTTTCACTGTGAATTACCAAAATTTTTGAAGTGTAGTATATTAACACATGTGAATCTATTATGAGAATAGACAAGAAATTATTTAATAGACTTATCAGACAATATGACATCAAAAAGGAAGGTCTTTAAACATTTTCCGGGCATTGAATTCACGGAGCCATGAATCAATGCCATTTGCTTGTTGTGATTATCAAACCTTATACAGGTTCCATGTGGTCTTGGAGCTGTTTCTGCCATTATGTCTAGAGAGCATAACTTCCATTTCTGACTCATGGTGTTTATAGTAATGTGTATAAAGCATTATGTTTTGAAAAGAGAATATTTTCTAGTGTTGATTCTGACAGGACATTCCAAAGCTAGAATAATGGACCCAGAGCTACATCTATGGGTTCCTACCCAATAAGAAAGTCTTGGCATATTTGAATTCTGCATTCAAATTCTCTTCACTCTTACTTATTGGACTGATCAGACTTCTAAGATAATGCTTATCAATTCAGTAAATGCTTCTTGAATTTGCAATGGTGCTCAAGGGAAATGACAGGGGTATTCAGTATTACATATTCATATCTTGGTGTTTTGTAATGAGTTAGGTTACAAGTGCTAACATAATGTAACATTTTCAGGGGAACTTGGAGAGCATTTCTACTGTCATTCCATTGCCATCCTGTTTGTTTTCTTGTCCTTTCCTAGTGTGCATTGGCCAGAGAGCAGCAGAATTTCTAATGAGGTAGACCTTGGAATAGTCATCCATAATCCTGAAATCCCTAAAGATAATTCTAGAACTGCAAAACTGACTTCCTGTCAAGAAACCTGGCTCCCCTGAGTTATTTTGATCAAGCGGTTCTTCTTTGAGCTACTTTCTTACCAATAAATTAGTAATAACAATTCATGTCTCTGCATTTGGCTTATTGGGAAAGAAATTACGTGATTGTTGTTTCAGAACTGAGTGTTTCAGTCAGTAGTGTGACACATGGAGAGTAACATATACCAAGCCTGTCCTGCCAAACACTCATTGGGACCTGACACACAGGGGTGTGTCTGTGTGTGTGTGTGTGCATGTGTGTGTGTCTCATACTGTATGGTAAAGAGGAACAGAACAAGAAGCCCCGCCCTGCCCCAGTACAGCCATACCACAGTGAGTCCAGAAAAACCTACTCTAGTAAAAAAAAGAAGTGCTTGTTCCCCTCAGATACGTGGACCACACAACACACTTGATGTCTCTCTCTGGTTGGGATTTAGAGGGCAGACTTGGAATCTTGGTACTTTAACAAAGCGTGCCCCACGGGCACAACATTACTCCACACAGGGACCATGCATGGATAGTATGCATTTCCGATAGTAAAGATATTCAGAGCATCAATTCTGTCTCCCCCAGGATATACTCAGTCACACACTTCGGTCGGAAGTGGAATACAATATAGCCCGTGAACATTTGCTGTGGGCAACACAGTGTCTATGCCTGCTGTTGTGCAATGTATCGGAATAAAAGAAAAACACTGTCCCTGCCCTGTTGTAGCTCAGAGCTGGCTCAGACTAGCCAAGCAGACAGAAGAGTCTAGTGGAATATACACTGCACAGACAGGAAGGGGTGAGCTCACAGCATGGAGGAGGCACTGCAGAAAGGATCCTCAGACCAAATATGCAGAAAGAGCATAGCATGAAGTGGCCTTCTGCAGTTCGCTCCATGGAACACAACCAAACTGTTGCATTTTAGGAGATAATGGAAGAAAATGGGCTACAAGGGGACCTGAAGAGAGGACTTCATATACCTTCCTAAGGATCTGAGCTGCCTTCATAGGTTGTGAATAAGTGCAGAAGAGATGCATCTCTGCATCCGTTACAAAACAGGATGCTTTCAATTCCATTTTATATACGGGGAAATTGCATAAATCCAAGGTGCGTAATTAAGCGAATCCAAAATTCTGCTGGAGGTGGGCGTTCCACTGTTCCTCAGACACCCACTGTCATTGGCTGCTGGCCTGTTCTGATACTACTCCTGTCTCTGAAAGTAAATCTGTACTGGAGTTTCTGCTGCCAATGAGAGCCTCTGACCCGAATGAAACTATGACGAAGCACTGTTAAATGAGTCAGAGCCGCGTGTCTGCATGAAGATGCAGAAGAGTTCTTGTAAGCAAGATGTGGCTAAGTGTGGTACAATGGTCAGCCTTGCTTTTGGCCAAGGGCTGGGTTTCCTCTAAGCAGTGATGTGTAGGGAAGAAGACAGACCCACGTGGAAAGGACCCGGGAACAGTGCTACATCCAGGCCTCACTCCAACAGCCTCAAGTGGGTGGCAGGGCCGGTCCGTCGCCCGAGAGACTGACCTTTTTGGTTTTGTGTATTCCACCCTCATGACTGACCTCCATCTTTGCCTCAGCCATTGCCTCTCCTGTCACAAGCAATGCCCCTGTTTTCTGACCAGTGTGTTCTGGGTAATGTGTATTTTGTGTGTGTGTGTGTGTGTGTGTGTGTGTGTGTGTGTGTGTGTACTTACTAATACATTCTACTCACTGCTGACTCTAATTCATAACTTCTCTCATGGCCCCTGCAGGCTTGGGACAATTCTCTCTGCAGAAACATCCGGTAGTGCTATTTCTGCTGCTACGAATGATAAAGCCTGCTTTAAGTAATTTGTTAGCCATCATTAACCTTGCTTGGACAGAGCAGGGCCACAGAGTGCTGGCCAGCCTGCCTTCTGGCCAGCCTGGTCCAATTGGGTGGGTCGGGTCAGTAGGACGGATGGCACGGAACATGGAATTATACTGCACAAGAGAAATGACTCAGCCGGCTACCGGGGCAATGACTATGAGCTCGGGAATTTTTCCTTCCAAGTTGGGAACTGAAGGGCGATACGGTGCAGTCGGAGGCCCTCTGTATCCGTTGATTCCACAGTCACAGATTCAACCAACTGCAGCTTGGAAAATATTTTTAAAAAGAGCATCTGGGCTGAGTATGTTGAGTTCATTCTCGTCGTCTTTCCCTAAACAATACAGTCTGACTGTTTAGCTGGGATTGTGTTGTGCTCAGTATCATGAGTAACCTCGAGCTAACATGGGAGGATGCAGTCGGCTCTATGGAAACACAGGGCCACTTCATATAAGGGACTTGATTTGATATCTGGGGCGGGGGGCCACCAGACACCTATGGACAAATGCATTCATTTGTTTGACAGATGACAAAACTGCTTTAAATGTAACACTTGAGAGTACCCCTAGAAGACAGCAAAAGGGCAGAATGCTTCCTACTGTGACATCTCCGCCCCTTCCAGACTGTGTCTCTCCCCCACACAGAGCCCCTAGAGGTGTGCGCCTCCCCCAAGCCCAGTACAAAAAACCTTCTCTTCCCCGGTACAAAGAGGAGCTGCCTGGTCAGACACCTAGTCCTCCTCTTCAGTGTCAACTTGAATTCCTTCCTGCTCACCAACCACAGTTGAGCCATTCCAACTCACCCCCCCGCCCCCTCCCCGAGTCACTCAAACTCTGCAGCTGCTTCCTCAGCTCGGGAAGAGAGGCGCTTGCTGTTTGTAATACAGCAATGCAGCTCTCTTCACTCAGCTTCCGTGAACTGGATTTCGTTCCGGCCTGAATGTCAGTACCCCCCGAGAGACCCTTCCTACTGGAGCATCGAAACACCCAGAGGCGACGCTGGAACACCATTGGCTAAGAGAGCACACAGAGAGTCTCAGTGAAAGCCAGGCCAAGTGTGAGGCACACTCCACTACATATGTGTTCAGATACAGGGCCTCTGTACACCGGTGCGTGTATTTGCCTAATATGTGCAAGCTGTTAGTTAATGTGCCCGAAGCCCCGGGGTTCGCAAGAACTCACACTCTTCATTGAATGGAGCAGGGGCCCAACAGCCAAGTTTAAGTGAGATGACGCCTCACTTCCTGAATCTGTATTCAGCTGCCGTGTCCGGGAGGTGCCTGCGGATCCAGAGAAGCCGTCAAAGGCAGAGAAGTGCTAGGAATGTTTGGGAAGCAGAAGGTAGATCGGATCCAGGGATGGGTGGGAAAAGGTGAGTGTGGGATTAGGCAGGGGACAGATTACCCTTGGCCACAGTCAATATCTGGATTCCATTCTCCTTGCTACAGGATGTGCCCAGGCATTTCAAACAGCCACGTGGCAGGCAGGTCTCTCGGTCTTCAAAGAGCGCGCTGGGTGCTGTGTGGGAGATGGAGGATAGATGTATGTTTATAACTGAAAATACTGCCTACACGCTTGGAGGGCTGGGTTGTGCTGGGGAAGCGTTTAAAGGTTTCACGAGCAACAATCCACCGAATCCTGCAGTAGTCTCCAACACGGATACCACTATGAGTGAGATAAGCAAGGCACAAGAGAGTTCAGTAGCTTTTCAGAGGTCACACGGTTGGTAGGCAGCCGAGCCCGTTCTCCAACAGAGGCAGCGTGAATTCAGAGTCTGGGCTCATAACAAGCAGGGTAAAATAGGCACAGTTATGCCTGCCTTCCCAACTGACAAAGGGCTGCTTTGAGCTTAAAATAGCATGTTCTAGTAAAGTGCTGTGAATATTAAGAAGGTTACTGTGAGAATTTAACAATGCCATTATATCGTATAAATATAACTCATTAGACAAAGTATAATGAATTGGCTCCTAATCTTCTGTATATTATGGTTAAAAGAAGCACTAATATTTGCAGCAAGAAAAACAATTAGCACATTCATTAAGTCGAGTCCTGCTTACACTTTGCTCATTAACTCTAATCATCTATGAAATACTTGAACTAAGCTAACACGTCAGCCCCAGAGCCATTAGTGCCTGTCAGCAGATAGGAGGCTTTAACTTTTAGGGAATGTTTTCATTTTACAGACTCACAAAGAGCCCAGTTCAGTCGCCATTTTCTCTTAATGATATATGTGATCATGATATTGAATATAATTTGAATTCACAAATTATTACCTTCCACAGCAGCACCGCAAGCTAGACCCTAATTAGTGGTCGAATTTATTTCCCTGTACTTCACTAACCATTATAACTTCTGTTTGGCCCGTCATCAGCAATATACAGTTAAAATAGAACGTATGAATATTTCTAATGTGCAACTTTTATATTTAAGCTAGTGTGGACAACGTTACGAGAGCTGCTGGGTGAGCCTGCAAGTGTAGAAGAATGTTCCCGAATCTTCTGAGAGCCACTAACACCTTTAAGAGCCTGTATATATGGCATGGACTTCCTCCTGAGAAAAATGGGAATCTGTTTGTACACTCTCTGAGACAGTCACAAACTCCCAACACAGATCCTCTTAGCAATAAGAATGCCACGCCAAGAATTAGTGCTTTAACTTGATTTTACTATGTGGCGAAAGCTTATGCCTAATTATAAAAACTTTTTCAGTTGCCTGCTCTTTGATCACTTGCCCCTGGCAAGGTGGCCTTACTAGGCCACAGAGAAAGAGGATCCAGACAGTCCTGATGAGACCTGATAGGTTATCAGTGGACTACTGGGAGGGACATAGGGCTGGAAATGGGGGAAGGGAGGGGGCAACAGCTGGGCTACAAAGTGAATGAATTGTAATAAATAATAATAATAATGAAAATATTTTTTTAAAAGAAAGAAGAGTGGTAGCTAAAAGACAAACAGAAAAGGGCACCGCCAGGAAATGTTTAACACAGTTTTTGCTTTCATAGGCTATACAAAAGCATCACGTTGTGTTTGGGAACCTTTTCATTTTTAGGGAATGCACATTAAGATATTCAAGAGTGAAAGTCATAATGTTGTAACTTACATTGAAAAGATTTAACGAAATGGATGACTGATTGGTACATACATACATATGTGCATACATACACAGTAGAAAGAATGACAGGTGATAAAGAACGGATGAAGTAAATATGGGGAAATAGTACACTGGGTTGATGACGTCAGGCACAGCGGCACACACCTGTGGTGCCAGCTCTAGGAAGATTGTGAGTTTGAAGCTGGTCTGGGTTTACAAGTTGAATCTCCGTCAAAAGAGAAAGGAAAGAAAGAAGGAAGTAAGCAGGTGCTATATATCTGGCTCTCATATTACTGTTCTTGCAATTTTCTCATTGTAAGAAAAATTTTATAATTGACATCTGTTGGGGAAAGATAATAGTTTTTTGAGCTTGAGGTTTGGGATAAAAAGCAGTAATGTAATTTTAAAAATTAGGTAGTGAAAGAGAGCTTGTATGTATGGTCTGAAGGAGGGATTCATACTACAGGATTGAAGTGGAAAGTAATTTTCAGGTTTGTTCCAGAAATAAGATTAGAGAAGAGGCCAATGAAGAGGGAATTGATCAGATAAGAGTATAAATTACCTCAACCCACCTTAAGTCAATTGAAACTTCTTTGCATAGTAGTATAGGTGATATAAAACACTATTATACTGTATAAATATAACCTGTTTAAGTATAATGAATTGGTTCCTAATCTTCTGTATATTTGGGGGGCTAAAAGCAGCAGAACCCAAAGCTCCTGAAGAGATGGCTCAGCAATGAAGAACACTTATTGCTCTTGCAGATGGAATGAGCACCCATATTATGTCTCACAACTACCTGCAACTTCAGCTCCAAGGTGTCTGGCTCTCTCTTCTGTCATCCCTGGACACCAAGAATGCATGTGGTGAGTGTGTATATATAGGCAAACACATAAAAAGATGTGGGGCTGGGGAGCACTGGGGTAGAGGGGAGCTGACCCCCAGAGTGGGAACAATGAACAATTAAGATTTACTTGCAAAAAACAAAGAAGGGGCAGCTACTCCTCTGGACACCTAAGAGTCATCTTTTCATTCTGAATTTTTAAAAATTTGGATAAGCATGGTAAATCTGCAGCAGACAGATTTTGGCATGCAAAAACCAAAAAAAATGGAGGAATCCTTTAAGAAATCAATGGCATGGACCCGACCCTGTACTCATATGGGGATGAGTAGCTGTCTGTGGTGGGTTTTTTTTGTTTGTTTGGGGTTTTTTTTGGGTTTTTTTTTTTTTTTTTTTTTTTTTTTTTGCAGGAAAATGATGCAGCTTGATGGCGACTGGAACTCCTGATGCAACAAGTGGATGAGGAGTTTTCTCCTGACAATGATAATGATGTCAATGAATACCCCTCAGTCAAGATGACTGTTTATGTGCTACCCTCAAGGAAGAATGTTGTTTTTACATGGACTATTCTGGGGTTGTGAAAGTCAGCATGGCTAAAGTTAGAGAGGGCTTAGAGAGGAGAAAGACAGAGAGAACGAGAAGAAATTTGGTTTCATAATTGGTTTTCAATCTCTCCCTGGCTCACTACTCTCCTCCCTTCAATCTTGGGACCCATGGTGGGCTTCCTTCTCCTCATATCTTTCAGTTCATGGGCAATCAAAAGACTTACTAGCTTTGTAAAACAGCAAATTGACTCCCTGGCATCTAAACCCATTATCACAGACTTGATTTGGCTGACCGAGGCTTAGCTGAGCCCGAGGAAGACTGGTAACCGTCCATCACATGGGTCTTGATTGTTTGTGTTTGGCTCTCATGAGAATAGCATGAAACTCAGATAAATGCTTGCCTGATGGGGCATGGACACCACAGGGGTATAGGATGAGGTACCGCAGGGGAAGGACCCAATTGTCCGCTTCTGAGTCCCCAGAGAAGCAAACCTGATTGCATAGAGGTTGGTGTCTGATTACCCCTAACCACAACCTGCTGCGGATGCCCTCAGGTGTTGATGGGGTCTTCCTCTCCTCCCCCAAAAGACACCCAAAAAGGCCTGCAAAATGCCTTGGGAGGATCAGGTCACTACTTCCCCCCTCTGGTTAATGCCCACTGTCTTGAATTCAAAAAACCTCATGTTTATAACCTACCTGCTAGCCTCTTAAATTGTTTAAGAAGGGAGGAGATGCTGGGAGCCAAAGCCAGCTAGTGAAAAGTTACAGACAGCTGCAACAAGGTCATGGGTGAGAGATTTATGTTTCCGGAACTTATGAGACATCTGTTCGTCAGGCTAAACATTTTGAGATATCTTAGCTGACATTCTTGTAGTATCTCTTTTAGTAAACATTCTTGCGGTATTTTGCATCATCAACCACCCAGACATCTTTTGTATTGTAAACTACTTTGCTGACACATTTTCCCTTTCGGCCTTCTCCCTATAAAGTTGTGTGAAATTTTTCAAATAAACGAGAGCTAGATCAGATGATAGACTTGTTCTCATTCTTCATGTCTCTTGTTCCTACCCCATTCTTTTCACCCCTTGGGAACCCGTTGAACCCCCACTGGAAGGGGCATGTCCAAACCCCAGAAAGCTAGTCCTGAGATGGGCAGGAGTAATAAACCCCTCCAGCTTGTCCCAGCACACCTAGCCACGCACCCTCACCTTTGCCCCCCCCCCAAGGAGGTCACATAGCCTGGCAGCCAGGTTAAACTTTCTCTCCCCTTATAAGGTTGAGTCCAGCAGCCTCTGGAACTCATTCTCATGCAAATGAGGCATCCCACCACCCTGGCCCCAGCCAATTGTGTACTCTCACCCTTTGTTCTCCCCAGTTAAACAAGTTGTCTCACTGACACTGTTTCTTGCAGTGCTCACAGGCACCTAGTGTATCTTACATACACACACACACACACACACACACACACACACACACCACCCCCAGCTCCACCACCCCTAACCCTCGTGCCTCTATTCCTATCCCCACTTCCTCTCTCAGAATCCAGTGAGAGGGGAAAATGGAGCCTGAGTGACAAAAAAGATAATAAGGAAAGCAATAAAAACAATTAGCCCCTCTACCGTAAAGCAGAATTACTGATGAAAGCAGTGTTAATGAATCACCATGAGACACAGCAAAAGCAGAGACAATGCAAAGGTGTGTCACACCCCTTAGTGGAAAAAACCAACTGAAAAACAAAAATCAAATTTTCTTAGATATATAAAAATTCAATGTGATGCCAATCAAATTCTAAGATTTGTTTGTTTATTTTCTGTATATGAGTGTTTTGTTTTCATGTATGTCTGCACACCAGAAAAGGGCATCAGATCCCATGGGACTTCAGTTATACACAGTTGTGATTCAACATGTGGGTGCTGGGAATTGAACTCAGGACCCCTGGAAGAATAGCCCCTGCTCTTCACTGCTGAGCCACGCCTCTACCCTTCCAAACAAATTCTCAACCACATTTTCTATGGACTTATTAGGCAATGATAGAATTTATATTGACGTCTAAGGTTGCCAAGAGTAGAAACAATTGATAAGAGGGTCTGATCACAAACAAGTGACCAATAAGACCAAAAGGAGTACAGAAGGTGCCTGGGCATATGTGGAAATATTCATAAACTGGAATGGAACTTTGCATATTAGTGAAGAAATGATGACGATTTGAATAAGTAGTGCTTGAAGATTAGCTAGGTATATTGAAAATATGAAAGGATACAGCCCTTACAATATAACTTACTGTTTACTGTATTCAGCTTCAAGTTTCAAATATAACATTTGGTATAAAGCTGGAAAATAGCATTTTCAATATAATTTTTGAATTATTTTTAAATTGATACTTTAAACTGCATTAAAGTAATAGACTTTTTTTTTTAAAAAAAAGTTTAGTTATGTGTCTGTGTCTGTCTGTCTGTGAGTATAAGCATGTGAGCGCAGTTGTTGCCATGGCCAAAAGAAATCATCAAATCCCTTGGAACCAGAGAGTACAGGTACTGAAAACTGTACTTGGGTCCTGAACAAGAGCAGCAAGCATTATAAACCCACTGAACCATCTCCCTGCCATAAAGAGGCATTATTTATCAGGTGAGAGTAATCACTAATTAGTGGGATGTATTTGCAATTCATATAATAAAGAGGAGATTAGGTGGAGTGCTTAGTAGCTCGTGAAAATGAAAAGGATAAACAATTTAATGG